GATACTTACTTTTGGAAGGTCGTAAGGAGATTGTATTTGGCCATTAATTTCAGGAGGAATGTTATAAGGCATCAATAGATTTATTCATGCGTTGTGGCATAAAATTCTTATAAAATTTCTTATATAGAATTTTTTTTTCTTATAAAAATTTCTTATGTAGAGATGATGCTCAGGTGGATGAATACTTTATGGTGCCGAATGTTGGCCTTTAAAAGAGAAGCATAATACTAAGTTAAGTGTGGCAGAGATGAGGATGCTCAGGTGGATGAGTGGCTTTACTCTTAGAGATAGGATACAAAATGAGCATATACGTGAAAAGGTTGGAGTAGCTCCAGTAGAAGATAAGATTAGAGAAAGTCGCCTTAGATGGTTTGGTCGCATAAAACGGCGGCCTTGCGATGACCCGGTTAGGAGAGTAGAGGTATTAGATTTGATTTATGTTTAGAAAGGTAGGGGTAGACCTAAAAAGACTTAGTTAGAAAATATTAGGAATGACCTTTCTTTATTAGATTTAAACGAGAATTTGGCTTTTAATAGGACACAATGGAAAAAAGGATTCATGTAGCCGACCCCACGTAGTGGGATAAAGGCTTGATGTTGTTGTTGTTTGTGTATAAAAATTTCTTATGTAGAATTTTTTTTTCTTATCATAGAATTCTTATAGAATTTCTTATATAGAATTTCTTTTTTCATAGCCTCATTTATTCATGCGTTTTGACATAAAATATATCAAAATTTTCTTATAGAAATTTTATTTTTCCGTTTAAGTGGTCCGTTGTGTATATTTTTATTATGAAATGATCAATATCAACTCAAATTTTGAATTGCTCGACTGAATCAACGTAACTTCTATGAACTTCTTGTCGTCCAGGTGCTTTTCTTACAGCCGGTGTTCTTACAGCAGGCCTTATAAGCTTCCGAAATGGAAATTCTCAACTCGGCCAAAAGCTGATGAGGGCTCGAGTGGTATTTCAGGGAGCAACTGTTGCTGTAATGGTGGGGAGCGCAGCTTTTTATGGAGAACAAATCAATTGGTTCAAAAAGAAAAGCGATTAATCGCTTCAAAAACATATTCTGTTTTCCCTGCATGTGGAAGCATTAATTCCCTTCACCATAAGCATTTTTTTTCTTGACAGAAAGTGTCAGCTGTCCTGATTAGCTGCCTGCAGAAAATTATTATTATTTTACCTGCAGAAAATTAAATTAATCATTATCAAAGTCTGATATTATATGCCTTTAGTGGCATGTCTGTCATCGATCTATGCTTTATACTTCAAGTTCTCAGGAAACCTTTAATGTCAAAAAGAATATTAAAATTTATTAATAGTTGTGTTAAATAAAACCATTTTAGTGTCATATAAATATTACTTTGAACAGATAATTTTATATAATGCAATGATTGTTATTTTATTTTTGATGAATTGATATTATAAATTCATATGATAATTATGAATTTTTTTTTTGCTTGCTGTAGCATTTTCTCTGTTTTATTTTCATATTCCTGTTAAGCATTTATTTGGCTACTGTTTATTTTTCTTGAATTTTTGTTGCCGGTTGGAAGCTGCTTTTAAAAATCAAATTCATTGGTGTGGTAGCTGTAAGAAAAAAATTTCATTAAACGAATATTTATAATACTCACTTTATTTTTAATTTTTTTTAATACAATAACTCTCTTTGCTTGGATTCAACTATCCTACCGCATCGCTTATCTTGTAAACCTTGGCTTAGAATCAGGTTTTGAACGTTCTAAAGAACTAAATTGTTTCTGTTATCAAACATGATCAATTTCGCCGTGCTTAATTTTTATCTGGTAAGCAATTGTCGGTGCCATTGATGTAATTTTTGAATCTATTATTGATTGTGCTTCTGAGAGATTTTTTTTTTAATGGAAAATCATTAGTGTTGTCGCTTCTTTAGGGCATCTCCAACCGAAAATCTCATTTTTCATTTCAAAATGCAGTGAAACCAAAAAGTGCCGTGATTCATCTCCAATCGAATGTCATTTTACCCTCTAACCGTCGCTTTCTTCTTTTGCGTCTTTGTTCCGCAAGTTCGGTAGAGACCAAAAAATGACGTAGATGAACAGTGCGACGCCAATATTGTCGTCGCAATGTTCATCCCCGATCAAATGGCGGAGGAACTTAGCATTCGGTTGCGACGTTTGAGGGCCTCCATTCGATTATTTGTCGAACGGGTGGAGATAGTCTTAGTCAATGATCCTTAGGTTGCCCTTGGTGACTTTAATTACATTTGATCCAATAAAAAAAAAGTAGGTGGTATCCCTCCGTGGCATACAAACTTTTTTATTCCAAATATTGGGTTTTCTTACAATTGATTTAATAATCAATTGAAAAAACCTAATAATATGTTTGTTTGATAGAGCTCTTTGAAAAGTTATTGGCTTGATCAATTTTCTCTCTTATTTTAAGATCCTAAGCCTCATTTCATCGGTCCAATCACCCATTATCATACATTTTGGCAATTCTACTTCTTTCCGAAAAAGATTTATATACAAGAACTATTGGAGCTACTGCATCAATTTCTTTTAAATGATTCAGGAACTTTAGAGTACCCCTGTTAGAGGTGGTCCTATCTTTGCTCTTTGCAATAAACTCCAAAAAGTAAAAAAACTATCTTAAATGAAATAAACGGAACACCTTCACTTATATGTCCATGTTGACCTCTGCATTTATTATATATATATAATCATTACTTGTATCGAATCCTGCTCGTATCTCATCATGGGCAAATTATTGCATCCGGTCACCGGACGCACAGAATAGATTCAGACATCCAATAAAAACATGCAACGTCACCTGCGCTTTAGGTGCGTTTTGACTATGCTTTTGATGCGCTTTATCTACGTTTTTGACATGCTTAATTTAAAATAATATTTTATTAATATCCGGATGCAATAATTTGCCATCATGTCACTAGTTGCAGCCGCCCATACCTTTGTATTCGGCTCCGAATCAATCGCTTATCCAACGCTTGCCTCGATCGTTGCTTCATAGCTTTAATAAAATGAGAGATTATTAGGTGCTGAGTGCAGACAGGGAGAACTACACACTAGTATAAAATCCAGCTAGGTACCGGTACGACGGTGCTCTCCCCGTCTAAATAATTATTCTAATAAAAGGAACATGACGCCCTCTATTTCTCTGCTTACACACACGAGACAACCTTCCTGTGACATCTCCTTCCCCTCTCGGTTCGCAAGAAGCAATCCACAAACTCCCTTCCTCTTTCTCGTGACCTTGCCTCCTTCCCTCTTTGTCGCAAGCTGCAGCAAGACCGTACCCTATTTCCTCTCTATAAGCCTCATCCGACGACGTTCCCCTCTAGTCGGTTTGGAAGTTACGACATTTTGATCGGGGGCAACGACAGGGCTCGCTTGCTGTGAAGAAAACTTTCTCCCACACGCACGACTCGCTCTTCCTCACAACCTGAGCTCGCCTAGCCCTGTCTCCCTCATTCTTCCGTTCGAACCGAACCAGAGGCCGAGCATATCAATCTCGGCCTTTAAACCACTACCCCAATCCTTCGGTCCACAGGCAAAGAGAGAGAGAGAGAGAGAGGAAGCCTTATCCTACCTCAACCGAGCAAATCCACGCCGCCTCCCTTAGCCAGATCGGACCTGCCTTCCGATTTCCCTCCAGCCCTCAATTAATTTGTCGAATGTGTTTGCGACGAGCCGACAAACCCCTTACGCGCTCACGTAGCATAGTAGAAAAGGAAACCGGCACGACGCTTGTGATGAGGTGGGTAATCCTCGGAGTGCTTATGTAGCACGAGGGGAACAAAAAAAATATTACCTCCAAACGCTCATATAGTGCAGAAGGGGAAAAGAAACTGTGCTTCTTTCTAACATGTGCTCGAGACCCTTAAATGCTCATGTAGCGGGTAGGGATTAAAAAAAATAATACAACTGCGGTGTCATTTAACACCTACCTAAAGCGCTTAAGTAGCGACAAGGGGATGGTTGTCTCTTGGTTATTCCCCTAAATGGGAGAGATGCCGGGAGGCTGACAAAATTTTTTCTAAAATAAGATAAGGACTTGGACTCGGATTTGGACATTGAAAGTAAACTTGAATGAACCATGAAGACATGAATTCATAACAATATATAACTTGATTTGATTAACAACTACAAGGATTTAAATGAATATAAAGAACTTGAGCTCAAATGTATTACACAAAAGAACCATGAAGTGGAACTCGAACAAAATTCGAACAACAGTGGACCCGAACAAATGGAAGAAGCTCATCTTGAGCTTGAACTATACTTCTACTCAAATTTGGGCTAAATCTTGGGATTCAAGATTGAACCTACTTTGGAACTCGAATATGAATTGAATTATAGAGGACTTGAATCAATCTTGGTCTGCAAAGAACTTGGGTTTGAACTAAATACAAGAGAACTTGAGTTTAATGGGACTTACGAGTTTGAATATGGATGAGCAAACAACAATGAATAAAATTCAAATGCAATCCATAAGTGGACTTTAAGTGAACAAATGCAACGTCACAACAAAAATATAAATTAAGTGATGAATCCAAGTCATCCAAATAAGTAACAATCAACAAAACAGTGAACTCGTGATAGGAGGTCTTCATATATAAGTGACATATAAGTGAATTTATCAGTTCCTTACACATACTGAAAACCAATGATAATGAGTGGACATAAACTCATGACAAACAAGAATTCAATCAACATTTGATTGCGAACAATGACTCATAACATTGGAAGCTAATTCATCATTGAGCAACATTCAATGAAATTTATTAGGCATCTGAAAATATGCCTATGATCAATAAAATGAAGTTTCCTACAAATGCTCAAAACCTTCATGTTGAATGAAAGCAAGATATCGAATGGGCAGTAATCATTGGGAGCATTCTGAAGCTACCTTCAAATATGAAAGGATTATGATGCATATGACAAGTCATATGTTAACACTGATGGCATGATAGATATAGTGGCATTCCAATCAATATGCCTGCAATCAAAAGTATGAAGCTCTCAGCAAAAGGTGAGAAAATTTCATGTCGATCAAGGTGCAAATACCAACGAACACTGAAGATCCATACACAAGTGAATGTGGTAATTTAATGATCATTGTGCATAAGGAAATTGATGACAAATATATCCTTCCATCAGTCAACTTGTATGAAAGAACCAGTGATGAATACAGCTCACCCGTTGATTCATAAAACATGACGAATGCAGTGGTGGACGATATTATCATATAGATAGGTGATAACTCACTAGTGTTGGAGAATGAAGGGTTGCTCGTAAGTGATGATAAAGAACATGCAATAAATACATTAGTATCCTTGTGAGGTTAATTTGCAAACAACAACGGTCCAAAGCAAGAGACATATATTGCCTATATGCATTGATGAAAGACTCCTCTTGCATACAATCATTTGCTCGTAGATCAAAGCAGAAATGTTTACAAGCAATCATATGTGATTTATCATATGCATAATAGTGATGAATGCAACTCACGTGGAGACTGAATGAAATGCATTTAGTAAATAAAGCAAATACTTTGGAACACTTCCTCGTGAATAACAAAGCTGAAGTTGGTACAGTCAACACAACAAGCATGTAAGAATATGTAGCAATCTTTTCTACATGCATCTAGGAGCACTAAATGATTATACAACTTATCCATAAATGATTATATAAGATATGACTACAACCAAGCACATGCAGAATGGTGGAAAAGGCAACATATCCGTAGCATATTCGAGGTACCTACCAATTATTATGGCAAAGACACTATAACATCTCCATGGTCGACAATTGTCCAACATCAGTCAAATGCACCGGCCCTCCATCAACAAGGAAAGATGATACATAGTGAAGTACAAATATCCTACTACATACTCGTTATACATACTACATGTTATTTATAAGCAGAAGTAAATAAGATACGACAAGTGCAAAATATCTACAAGTCATTATAGAAGAGCCATCGTGCACCTGATGTGTCATCTATAGGGTAAGTACATAAGAGAGCTGTAGTAGATACGAGCTTTTATAAGATGATGTAGAAGACCCGCTATATACCACATATTATCTACAAGCAAACACCAGATGAAATGCAATAAATGTAGGTGTCTAAGGGCCCTTGTACAAGGCTTGTTATACATATTAAATGGCGTATACGAATAAC